TCCAACTCTTTGCTCACTTTCAACTAAACAAATTCTTTGGGGTTAAAATTATATGATTTTTTTCTTCTTTCAAGAATGCTGTAAAACAACATAAAATTCTGAATTATGATCGAATTTCAAATTTATTTTCTCAACCAACCAAGCATAAACCTTAGAAAGAAAAATTATGACAAAAAAATAACGAATTTTCCAAACAAACAAAAAGAAGAAGAAAGGGGTATATAAGTAATTTGACATGCTTTCAATTGCTAACGCAGAAAGACTAGCAAGTGAGCCGTAAACCCTTCTCCCTTTGCTCCCTCCCTTTGTTTCCTCTACTTTTATTTTGTATAGGAGAAGAGCGACGATACAAAATTCACAGCAACAGATTCTTTCGAATAATCAAAGAGAAAAAAATTAAATAAATAAATCGGAGAATCATGGGAAGAGAGGTTCCACATCAACAGGCAGCAGTAGCAGGTGGCGCTCGCCGTGAATCCGTACAACCCCGACATCCTTCATGTTTGGATTAAAACTTGAACTTTGGGCTCAAGCAGGAGTTGGCCCAAAGGAAGGTTTGAAAAAGGGAAGAGCCCGAAGCCCAGCCCAAGCCCAGAAAGCAAAAAAGGCCTTTCCCGACTAGGTGCAGATCATTTGCACCACTTGCTCACCTGCCTAGAGACCAAGTGGTATAGACTAGCTAGCTAATCAGCCCAAAAGTACTTTACAGTGGCAGTACAAGTAAATAGCTGATGAGTCATTACCCTTCAAGCTGCATTCGGGCAAGATTATTGCTACAGGAGGCCAAACTGAAGTGTCTATAAAAGGAGAAAGAGAAATAAAAAATAAGGACACTCAATCAAACAAACAAATACAAGCACAAACTCTGCTTAAAACCAGATTTGCCTTCAAACGAAGCTGTAGTCAGCCCAAGCCTTCATCATTTTCGGGATAAATCTTCATAAAAAACCTTTGTAATAGCTCTGCTACCTATCCTAAAGCCTGTTGTAGTATCGATCTCTTTCTGTAAACTCAACTCCCTACTTCCTTTTCTAAACCTCTCAAACCCCTTGATAAACCACAAAGATAGGAAGTTGCAAGATGATCAGCCTTGCCCGACCCTCTTTGTTTTTGTCTTTTCATTCATTAGCCTAGCAATATGTTATATACTTTCAGTTGTATTCAAGTTATTTCTAGTAAGATGATGAAAAGATTCTCTTAGTTCTTGAATCTGATTTGAATATGTCTTCACAGTTCAAACCAGGTCTAAGTTCTAAACTTTCGGACATGTAAGATTGATCATTCAAAAGTCCTTGGCCTCAAGGCATAAAAAAGAACCTTATGTGGACTTAACCCATCCACGACACGCTTTGATAACAAGAAGTCCGAAGTTACTTGGGGCGCAAGTAATCACTTTATCGCTTAGTGTTATTTCTATTATATTATGATTGTAGTAGAACGTTTGAGTATAGAAGGAATTCTGATGGGAAGCGTCAAGGCCTATATCTAAGGCCCTACAAAGACACCTATTTGGGTTCATTCTGCTCTGCGGGCTCAGATAATCAAAAGTATTGTTAAACCCCACCCCCATTTTTCATCCTATTTCTATTTTCCCCTAGAACATAATTGTTATCTATCAATTTAGTCCCTTATTCTCTTTTAATCCTAACCTTTGATCTAGAAATGTTGTCTCTCTTAGACTGCCATGTGGCAGCTCTCATATCTCTCCCTTCTTCCCTCTATTCCCGAAACACTCCCCATCACAGAACCTTTCTCTTTTGTTTATTTTTTCAGTTTCTTCTCTCTCTCTCTCTCTCACTCTCTAAGCTCCGAGAGCTTCTCTCTAACTTTCACTTCACTTCCTTCACAAATCAAACCCCAAAAACCATATATTTGGAATCCTTAAGACCTAACGAACTCAATGGTACCCTTGCATGCGCCATCTGAGCACCGTGGGTTTTTCTGCCATTGAAGCCGAGAGCTTCAAAGCTCTAAAACTCGAACCCAGGTAAAGATTGTGTTCCTTCTTCAAATTTCTGGGGCTAATCATGTTATTTGTGTTGGTTTTAAGGTCAAAATCGAGGGTTTTGACCTTACCTTTTCTCTATGCCAAAAACCCGGTTCCGACGACGAACTCCGGCAAGTTCGTAGGTGTGTGTGTGTACAAGTGTGTGTGTGTCCGTGTGTGTGTATGCGAACTGTGGGTGTGTGTGAGCATGCTGTGCATGCCGTGTATACTGTGCGTGTATGTATGTGTATGTGCAAGTGTGTATGTGCGTGAACCGTGTGTGTGTGTGTGTGTGTAAGTATGCTTGCTGTGCGTGTGTGTGATTATATATATATATATATATATATATATATATATATATATATGCATGATGCTGTGCGTGTGTGTGATTATATATATATATATATGCATGATGCTGTGCGTGTGTGTGATTATATATATATATGCATGATGTCTGTGTGTGTGTTTGGTATGTTGGTGTATGGTGCACGTGTGTGTTGTGTATGTTTGTGTACTGTATGAAGAGTACAGTGTGTGCGTTGTGCAGTGCATGCTTATGCATGCCTTGTGTGTGTGTGTGTGTTTATATATGTATATATATATATATATATATATGCAAGTGTGTGTGAGCAGTGCATGCTTTGCATGTGTGTGTGTGTTGATAAGTATGGGTTGGGCTCAAGCCCAAACCACCTCTTGATCCTAACCTATCCAAATCCAAGGCCCATTTTCATTTCCTAGAATTATATTGTTGGGTAGTTTGATTAACTGTACGTTCTTGTACTTAGGGGCAATTATCGCAACGTTTCTGTCTTCGCTAGTGGCGCAGCTTTTGACGGAGTATCTGTGAGTGGACCACCTTCGAAAATTTGCATGTTTTATTGATAGAATTGCATAATTTAATAGCATGCCTTGCAAAATTATTGATTTGAGGAATACTTTACAGGAAGCATGATGATTTGATTATACGTGATTATATATATATGTTTTGAACTATTTCCATTATATCGTATTTTCTATAGAACCCTCATTCTGGTAGACTATCTGATCGATGACGATAGGATGCTAAGAATGTGTTTCAAATGACTTTCGAACACCTCTTCGTAGTATAGAGGATTGATGAATTTATGCTACGAAGTTGTATTTTAGAGATGAATTATGTTTTGTGCGTACCTAGTGAACACTATGCCGCCTGGGGCGAGGATCTGGTGTTGGCATTGAGGTCGGGAGAATAATCCCTAGCGAAAGGCTGAGGGACACGGAGACAGGCATTGGGCCGGGAGGGAGATATCTCTGGCTACGGGTACAGAGACTGAGGTGCAGGCATTGGGCCGGGAGTATTATTATTCAGTGCACTCACTAGCAGCACAACCTGTGTTATGCTTCCTGATACGATTTCTGATATGATTTTCTGAGATTGATTTGCAGATGGATATATGAATTGTTTTATGGCATGCTAGAGTTTTCTGAAAAGCTTATCACTTATTATTCTAATAGTTTTCATTATTAAACTGTGGGGGTTAGTATGTTCATAACTGTTTTCGTACTATGTATATATATAAATTTGGTCCACTCACCCTTGTTTTGCGCCCCCATTCAGGACTTAGGATGAAGGCACATAATCCCGGCATCAAGGTACTTCCACAGCGGCATCTTCGAGTCCTCTCAGGGTAGGACCTACTCCTTGTTCATTCAATCTTATCTTAATTCTTGTTAGTGACTAGGTTTAGTTGTATGCTCTGAACACGTTCCTAAATTGTTAATTCATTGTTTTTAAATTCATAACCCATATATTTTTTTATTCCTAGCTTTTGTATCAATTAATGGCTTTCGTCACCCTCGGGTGTCGGCCAGCACGTGCCTACCCTGGTATTCCGGGAATATCGGGGTCGGGGCGTGTCAAGTATAATGGTTATAACACTTCTGCAAATAATAAAACAGATATCATATAGTCGAGTAGTGTGCTAGTTCTTGATCGGAAGCCTCAAGGCCTACACCTAAGGCCCCACAAAGGCACCGGTCATAACTAGCATGGCCCCTTGGGTGTATGTACAACTAAAACTCAACATTCATTTCACATCTGCCATGCTAAATATGGCAGTGGCACGCCTGAGCACTTAAAAGTTAATCTTGATTGTGAGCCTCAAGGCCTATACCTAAGGCCCCACAAATGCACCTTTCAAAGTTAACTCTGTCATTCTCTTTCAGCCTTACCCGACAAGCCTTGCCCGATAACCCTACTAGTAAAGCAGAAGCCCGACAGAAAGCATCAACCGGCACCAACCTCTCGGGGAGCTGCGTGCTCGTCGGCTAGGAGACATCCCGACGGAAATTCTAGCCACGAACACTTCTCGATCTCGAAAACTACAGGTATGTATCTCTCTCTCCGTCTCTGTCTCTTTCTCTGTCTCTTCATTAACGGGAACCGATACTTGGGTTTGATTAATTTTGATTGAACGACTGGGTTTATTTGGTTGTTTTTCAGGTTTCTTCGCAAACCTACAGTCTCGATGCCAATCTCTGCCTTCTTCGCCACTATCAGGTAATTTGAGAATTGGGTTTTTAATTTTAATTGATTTTTGTTTTAGAATTACTGCAAAAGTGAATTCTTTTTAATTGGTTTATGTTTTGCAATCCATAATTTCCTGCAAAGATGAATGCTTTTTAATTGGTTTTGTTTTAGGATTCATAATTTACTGAAACACGAAATTTTTAGTTGGTTTTTGTTTTAGATTATATAATTTACTGCAAATTCTTTAGTTGGTTTTTGCTTTAGATTGTATGATTTACTGCAAAGCCGAATTCTTTGTAATTGGTTTTCAATTTTCGATTTTCGATTCTATAATTTTGTTTGCCAAGCTTTATTCTGTTTAATTGGCATTTGTTTTCGATTCTGTAATTTACTGCAAAACTGAACTTTGTTCTTTTTTTTCGCTTGGGGTGCAGTTTGAGCCGGACCGTATGAACACCCAAATTTTGCCTGCATCTTGGTTAAGGTCTGTGTTGAGTCTTGATGCTGTGAAACCTTTCTTTTAGTTGTAATTAAGTGTGTTTAATGTTTATGAGTGCTTTATTGATGTGCTGGCACTGATGGCAATGCCCTCTCCTGATTTCAGCCTTTGCCTCTTCTTAATTCCTGAAAGAGTGGTATAGCTCTCTCATTCATTTCCTCCCCCGTACAATGTCATTATTTTCGTTCACAAGTGATGGAGGTTCACATAGATTGTGCACATTGTGTCCGAGTCAAAATTGTAGAATGGTTTTCAGTTTCCTTGTTTATTAGTTTCTGGTTCTCGGTGTTTACATCTCGGTCAATTTTGCTATTAGAATTTGAGATATTTAGGGATATTGAATGTTATTCTGCTTTTATGGCCATCGAACATTATTCAGCTAGTTCCCTCTTTTGTTTCCTCTAATTCTTTATCAGCAAATGGAGGAGCAGTTCAAGACACTAATTGTTCTGTCTCACTACTTGGAGGTATGTTTCTGTCTGTAGTGTTTGCCTTCGGGTCCTCATTACTCATGCATAACTTATAAACCTACTCATTTCTGTTGCAGACTGGACGATTCAGTCAATTCTGGGATGAAGCATCCAAGAATCGTCACATAGTTGAAGCTGTACCAGGTATTTTTTGGACTTCAATTGCATAGCCGCAATACTGCAGAATTATGTTTCGGACTACTATTTCTCATAAGAAATCCGGACACTTTGCTTGATTTGTTTACATATTACAATTCCTTCTAAGTTCTAAGTTCTAAATAGGAATTGAGGTGGTGTTTCTTAAAATTTCAAAATCTCATTACCGCGCATTATATGAAAAACAGAGGCCTTAATCCGAAATTGACAGATTTATAGTCACTCATTACACAATGAATGTCTATGATAGTTTTGATGTAAAAAAATTTGGGTCGAAGATGCTCGGATAATGGTAGATCCATGAGTTTGGATTGGGACAAAAACTCTCTTAAGTTAGTTCAAGTACAAGCGTTGGGAGTCGTATAAGTGTCGCTTAAGCACTGCGGTCAAACTCATAGAGTATGATGGCAGATCAAAAAAAAAAAAAAAAAAACAGAAGGGCAAACACAAGACAGTAGAACAAGGAGAAATTATCAAACGAGTTCTTGATTTTTAGTTTACAAAAAAAATATAAACTAGAAATTAAAATAGTCATCAAACGGCTCGTTAGTTTTAAAGATCAGGAAAGTGCAAATGAACAAACAAAGTGAAACATTAATATATGCATATGTACGTACTCAAACATTAATTTCTTTGTGAGCATTTACTTCTGATTTACCAATTAACGAATAGGTGGAAATCTTGATGTGGTGTTGATTAATAAGATTTAGTACGGTTTTACTTCCTTGCAAATTCTGGGATGGAGTTTGGGTCAAATTTCAGCCTACTGTGTCTTTGTACATTTTTGGATTGGGACAAAAATTCTTAAAGTTAGTTCAAGTAGAAGCGTTGTGAGTTGTATAAGTGTTGCTTCAGTACTGCGGTCAAACTCATAGAGTATGATGGCAGATAAAAAAAAACACAAGGGCAAACGCAAGACAGTAGAACAAGGAGAAATTATCAAACGAGTTCTTGATTTTCAGTTTACAAAAAAATACTAGAAACTGAAATAGTCATTAAACCGCCCGTTAGTTTTAAAGACAAGGAAAGTGGCCCCTTAATTTTAAAGATCAGGAAAGTGCAAATGGCAAACGAACTCAAACATTAATATATATGTACTTATCCAAACTCCTAATAAATCAGTAATTTTCGATCATCTCATATGAAGTGGACGGTTGCTCTTAATCCTGCTCCTCAAGGTCAAGGGAAGCCGTTTGTTTTGGTTGCGCAATAGGAGGTGCACCCCGCAGCTTTTAATGTCTGCAGATTTGGGGAAGCGAAATATAACTTGACAAATATCTACCTGCTGCTTGAGCTTGGGTAAATACAAAAACTTGAGCCACACATGAGTCGCCTTGAAGGGACGCCACGTGAGTCGCCTCGGAGGTTCATCCTGTAGTATTCCGTTGATGAGAATACAAAAAACATATTCATGATAAGTCGGTAGTCCAGAATCATAAGTGGGTGGTTCAAAAACAAAAGATAGGGCCAATCCTGATAACGTCTCCCCCACTTGTAAATTTAGAGGAATTTCAAAACTAAATTCACTGCCTCCAACAAATTCTTTTTTAGTAAGATATTTCTTCCATAACGTCTCCCCCGCTTGAATGGTTGTGGGATGGTTAGAGGTATAGCTGAACCATTTTGGAACTTCATTGCCTGGATACATAACTTTCAATTGAGAGTGCCAAAGGGATTACTGCATGGGGTGTGCTATCCACACACCGCAAATTACTTCTCACACACCCCTTGTTAATTTTTGTCCGTTGATTTTCTTCAATTAATCTGATCCGACGGCCGAAAATTAGAAGGGTGTGTGAGAAGTAAAATGGGGTGTGTGGATATCATACCCCCAATAGCAGATATAAATGTATAGTTAACTTACAAACATTCGTCATTTGATATCTCTCTCAAGTATATATCAACAAATTTAATTTTAATTTCAACAGAAATTAAGAAGAAGAGAGAAGGAACTTGCGCATTCAACAAATTGTTTTCCAACTTTGCCACCTCATAGCCGCTTAGTCTATAGCAATTAATCAAGCCCAGATAAAGAAGCATCGGGGCAGTCTTGGAATTTTCTCCAATGATGTGCAATCATCCAGTGTTACCCATCGTAGTTCTGGTGGAAGGACTTGTGGAATTTTCCGAAGCCTTTTGCAACCAGTCAGTCCAAGTGACCTCAAGTTGACAAATTTGCTAATGCAATCCGGAAGACTTACAAAATTGTTTCCCGGCAGATAAAGTTCTTCTAATGTATCCCAGCAATCAAGAGGCACAAGGAAATCACTTTCTAATAAATTGCATCCTTCAAGATAAAGATATTGTAGCCCGGGAAGCGTTAACGTGATTGGTTTTGGGCAACCATGTATTTTTATATTTGTAAGGTTCTCACAACTCCTTGTTGTTAAATAACGAAGCCCAGTAAGGTAAGCAATTGATAAAGGCAATTCTCTTATGCTAGTGAATTGTATATCCAATTCATCTAGGGATTCCATCTTGTCCTCCTATTTTTGGGAAACTCTTCAGCCTTGTGCAACCACCAAGACAAAGGCTTTTAAGGGATCTCGCTCCAAGTTTTGCTACAAACCTCGTAAGCTTAGAGCACCCATAAAGATCCAATATTACAAGTTTATCGAGGAATCCAACAGAATCATCAACCTCAACCAAATTTTCACAATCACTTAAATCCAGGATTTTTATGTTTGAGCTTACAGATAAGTCGGGAATTTTTTCCAAGAATTCACAATCACTTAAATTCATCCATGTAAGCTTTTCCAAATTCTATAAAACCAAAAACAAAAACAAAACAAAAGTTCACATGCGATATTTTTTTGGGAAATAAAATATACGTTTAAATAATAATAGTTCAAAATAATTTAAAGTACGTACCTTAAATCCATTCAATTGTCTTATGCCACTGTATGACAAATCAAACCTAACGAGATGTCTTGGATTATAATTGCACGGCAAATTGAACACAACCGTATGCTTAATATCAATAATGGATCGTCCACCCAAGTCAATCCACCTCAAACTGTTGGGCAAATAATCAACGCGTCCAGAAAAATGTGCATTACGGTTTATAAAAATTTCAAGATTTACCATTCCCAAGAAGCTTTCTGGATCAAAGGGTATCACATCTGATTTGGGCAACTCCACCACAATGCTTCTAATTTTCTTTGTTCCCTAATATGGAAAAAAAATGAAGTATTGTTAACAAACTATGTCGTTTAATTAACAAACAAAACACAATCCCTGTTTTAAAATTTTTGTTTTTTCTTTTCTATATCATGCCAATCAAATACAAGAACATAGATTTTACTTACCTGGTTTTCAATTAGAACATTGTACACATCTTCATGAAACCACAACCTGCTCCGCTCGCCTGGTTCAATGGACGATTCTTCGAAAACTATATGCTTACCCATTTTTTCTAGCAAGTCATGCATCAAAATCCAATTATCTTCAATAGTTATAATGGCTTTCTCAACGAGTACTTCAATACAATCTCGACGTACATTGAGACTTCTTAATATTTGTAACATGTAGTCTTTATCTTCACCCTTAAAGAAACATGCAATGTCTAGAAAAACTTGTTGCAGACCATAATCACAGGCATCATAAGTTTTTCGAAGTATTATTTGAATATTTGTATAAGATTCTCTATCGAAAGAATCGTAACCATCCAATATAGCTTGTCAACGATCTATGCGTTTCTTACGCAAATGAGAACCTATAAGATTAAGAGCTAGTGGAAGACCTTGAGCATAGGCTTTTGCACGTCGTGCAAGGCTCAAATAACCATCTGGAGGTTTATTTCTTTGGAAGGCTTTTAAACTAAAAAGCTCAAGTGCTTTGTCGTCTTCTAACTCTTGGACTTCATATATCCACTGGCCTCCATAAAAATCTAGCAAACTTCTATCTTTTGTGGTTACGATCACTCTGCTACCTTCACCGAAACAATCGACATCAACCCAGTCTTTTAACCGCTCCAATCATCCACATCATCAAGAATTAAGAGAATCTTTTTTGGACTCACCCGATTCTTAATAAAACTAAAATTCTGTACCATATAGAAATTTAGATAAAAGAGTCTTCTGTAGTTGGATTACGCCTTCACGTGTTGCCGATGTTTCTCTAACATCTGCCAGGCAACAGTTGCCTTCAAACTTATGAGCCATTGCATTATAAACCGCTTTTGCAATTGTTGTTTGCCTATTCTAGATGTCCCCCAAATCCCAACTACACGACGATCGTTTCCACCGACACCTAAAAGCTCTTCCACCTTTTTTGCACAAGACTCTATTCCAACTGGGTATTTGGCCACATTCAAAACATGTGCGATTTGATACTTGAATTGAAATCTCTTCAACGATGTGGTCAATAAATGTAATTTCATACCTACCAGTTAAAAAAACAATGATACATTTAATTTTGTTAGCATGGTACGGTAATGACACTACCAACAATTTGGTGGCCTTAACCTTTTTTTTATACTCCAATTCATTGATAACGTTTTTTGAACCAAAAACGTATTATTGTTATTTTATTAATTTTTAAGCTGTAACCTAAATTTTTTAGCTGTAAAAGTGTCTTATCAATCATGATATATTACACACTTATTAAGTTGTTACTTAACACCATCTTTAATCATTGAGGTACTCTAGTATACTTGTTACCTATTTAGTTATAATCAAGATTCATTATTCGCATTTCAGACACATCTAGTAAATTAGGCCATGCATCAAGATTTAAGATACAAATTAAGGTTAAAAACCAAAAAGAAGTACAAACTAAATCAAATAGAAGTTAAAGTTACAAACTAAACCAATTTTTTTTTTTAAATTCTAAAAATACATCAAATATCCTATTAAAATACAATTATGAGATATAGCATGCATGACACACCCCGACCGAAGTCAAGGCACATGCCGTCACGTGAGAGTGACGTAACCATGTGCACAGTGCAAAAGCACTAATGATATTGAGAACTACGAATAAATAAAAACCAAAACACTAGAAGTACTAGCTAAGATAAGGTACTAGTGCGAGATTAGATGCGAAATACACAATTCAGAGCATAAGTAGCCTAAGTGCAATTCGACAAAACAAGTACTAATTATACAACACCCAAAGGTGATCCTACATTTATGGTGAACTGTCAGAACCTCTGTCAAGCCCTCGTACACCACCAGCGAGCAAACCTACCTAAAACCTGGATGGGCTAAAAACATAAAGCATGAGTGGGCAAAAACAAAGCTTTTCAAAATCATTTCATTTCTCAAATGTACACACCAAAACCCTACTGACACCATATATATTGTTGTGTTTGGCTCATATACTTATGAGTTGGCAACAATTTTGATAGTGTAACTTTCTGAGTGCTACAGGGAAATGGCAGTAGCCACTTTGTGTTTGGCTTTCGGTTGTGGCATGGATGTCTTGTTTCAAGAGAAGACATGGTGACTACCACAAGCAAAGTTGGAAGCAAGACTTGACTTTGTGGTTGCTTGCACACAATTGTGTATGTTTTATTGTGCATGTTTTATTTTATATGCATTAGATGACAAATGGAGAAAAGTTGTACTTTATAGACTAGGTATAGACTAGGTATAGACTTTGATGCATGCTAGGTAGGTTAGGTGATAATTATGTCATGTGAACTTAAGACTTTTTGGTCTTGTGTGTTGGCATAGTTGCTAGTGTATGCCTATAACTAGATGCAATATTTGTGCATTTAGAAATGCATTGAGAGAGCATCTGAAGGAGAACACAAAGGAGAGAAAATATAGAGTGAGAGTGAGAAACTCTTGGGGAGAGTGAGGCTCTTAGTAAAATTCTGTGAGGGTACAAGGGATTGGGGTTTGGGTTATGTTAATTTAACTCAAGTGTATCTTGTACTAGTTATTCTCATAGTGAAGAGTAATATCTCTTGGAGGACGTAGGCAGATTTTTGCCGAACCTCGTAATTTCTTAGTGTATTTATTTCTTGTAATTTAAAGTGTTCAACTGTGTATCTGTAGTTTGGTGAGACAATCTGAATCTCACTTTTGCACTGACGAACGACCAAGGCACAACAATTGGTATCAGAGCTTTGTTGGAAGCTTTGGTTCATTGACGGTTCAGATTTTTTATTCACCATGATGACTACAAACATGTCATTTTCAGTTGAGAAGTTTAATGGGAAATGTAGTTTTACTCTCTGGCAAATGAGAGTAAAGGATGTCTTGACTCAACAAGGCTTGGCTAGAGCTTTGAAAGGAAAAGATGGGAAGCCTAAAGAAATGACAGATGACCGGTGGGAGGAGCTGGAGTCGCGTTGTGTTAGCACAATTCGACACTGTATAGCTGCCAACATTATCAATAATGTTATGGATGAAGATTCTGCGCCTGCACTCTGGGAGAAGTTGGAAAAAAACTCTATATTGCTAAGAGTTTGACCAATAAGTTACATCTGAAACGGAAGATGTACAAGCTAAAGATGGATGAAGGCAGGAATCTCATGGACCACATGAATGTGTTCAATGGATACTTGGATCAATTGCGGAAAGTTGATGTTAAGGTTGAGGAAGAAGACAAAGCCCTCTTACTTCTTACCTCACTTCCAGATTTGTATGAAAATCTTGTGACAACCTTATTGCATGGAAAAGATACAGTAAGTTTGGAGCAGGTGCAGGCTTCTTTGGTGTCTTATGATACACAAAAGAAGAAGACCATTGTTGATGGTGGGCACGAGACTGCTTTAGCTGTTCAAGGTTGGAATCGTGGAAGAAAATTGGGAGGAGGATCTGAGAGAGACAACAGGTTCAGATCCGGTTCCGGAGGCAAGGGTCTACAATGCTACGACTGCAAAGAATTCGGGCATAAAAAGAAAAATTGTCCTTTGAGAAAAAGAAAGGATGATCTTGGTCCGGATTATAGCAATTTTGTGGCGGAAGACTTCGAGTTTGCCCTCTAGGTACTCGAAGCAACACTTTTCCTGGTGATGTTTAGTCTCAAGTGTTGCAGGGGTTTTGCAGCAGGTGGAGCTATGGGATTCACAGGTGATGCATTGGTCCTGAAGGAGGAGAAGTGTGTGGAATATTTGTCTGGCTCGACGGGTGTTTCTGGAAATGGGTGCATTGACAAGTTTCCAGGTTGCAGACAATAAAGAAGGGGAAAAACCTGCTGGAGAAGACGATGATGTGTCGAGATCCTGTCTGAAGCTAATTGGTGATTTTTAGCTTGCAGCAGCTGCACATGCATTGGCAGTGACTGAATCGGAACATGACCAACGAGGTTGATTCAGGGTGTGTATGCTGGTACGTAAGGCCAATGAATGCAAGGATTTTTGCATGGTATATTCGCCAAGGTGGAGATTGTTGTGTTTGGCTCATATACTTATGAGTTGACAACAATTTTGATAATGTGACTTTCTAAGTGCTACAGGGAAATGACAGTAGCCACTTTGTGTTTGGCTTTCGGTTGTGGTATGGATGTCTTGTTTCAAGAGAAGACATGGTGACTACCACAAGCAAAGTTGGAAGCAAGACTTGACTTTGTGGTTGCTTGCACACAATTGTGCATGTTTTATTTTATATGCATTAAATGACAAATGGAGAAAAAGTTGTACTTTATAGACTAGGTATAGACTTTGATGCATGCTAGGTAGGTTAGGTGATAATTATGTCATGTGAACTTAAGACTTTTTGGTCTTATTTGTTGGCATAGTTGCTAGTGTATGCCTATAACTAGATGCAATATTTGTGTATTTAGAAATGCATTGAGAGAGCATCCGAAGGAGAACACAAAGGAGAGAAAATATAGAGTGAGAGTGAGAAACTTTTGGGGAGAGTGAAGCTCTTAGTAAAATTCTGTGAGGGTACAAGGGATTGGGATTTGGGTTATGTTGATTTAACTCAAGTGTATCTTGTACTAGTTATTCTCATAGTGAAGAGCAATATCTCTTGGAGGACGTAGGCAGATTTTTGCCGAACCTCGTAAATTTCTCAGTGTATTTATTTCTTGTAATTTAAACTGTTCAACTGTGGGTCTGTAGTTTGATGAGACAATCTGAATCTCACTTCCGCATGACAAACGGCCAAGGCACAACATATACATGAGTGCTATGTGCTGCTGCAATGTAAGACTGCATATAGCCGAAATTCCCCTTCCATATTTCTGTGAAGAACATTACCATTCTCCATAACAAAAACCTTTCAAAACAATCGTACAAAACATAAACTTTATAAAACACTAACACGTCGCTCTGTAATCTGTGTGCATTAGGTTTCAAAATCGCAGGCCATAGCACTGTTGCCACATCAACCTCGGCGGCCTACTGGTACCGCGAAATGTACTATTTTGGAACCGAAGGAAGGAAAATGAGTAAACATCAACAATTTTGTTTGATTTGGCGGTGAGGGGTTCGATCGATGATTCGATATCGAATCTCAATCCTAAATATGGTGCGGCAATTTTGAGAGAGTGGGAAACGGCCTGTTCGGCAGCGATGTGGAGGAGAAGAAGTACGGCGGCGAGTATGGTTGCTGACTGATGTGGTCGAGTGGTGGCTGTCGTCTGGGTTGGGGATGAGAGTGGCTGATAGGTATTTTTCACAATTTTTCTTGAATATTTTGTTTATTTTTTATTATTTTAGATATTGTCAATTTAACAATGTTAGTTCTAGTAGGTACTGATTGATTATCTAATTCAAATCATGTTTAAATTACAAACATTAAATTTTGGCTGATATTATTAACTCTTCTCATGATAATTGTTGAAATAATATATGGTAAATGTTTTGGTGCACCTTGAACCCGACCATTTAGTATTATTATTTTATTTAAGAGAAATTAGCTTCTTATCCTTCATTTTGTTATTTTTTTCATTAAAATCTTATTTCTTTTTATTTTTTATCAAGGTTCTTGGTATTAATAACATCAATAATTATTTAAATAATAAAATATTTTTTATTTCTAAATATATTCATTTAATGTTAAAAATGTTACAATTAGTATATTTATATTTATGGCTAAATTTTTTTATCATATATTTTTATTTTTAGTTTGTACACATTTTTAATTTGCAACCTTTTTTTTTAATTTGTACTAATTTTCTTTTCAGTTTTAATTTGTACCCATATATTAATTTTTTTTTGTGCCCATATTTTATAAAGTTTTATTTGTATTTATACTCATATTTTTTTATTTATTTGTACCTATTTTTAATTTTGCTAAATGTACCCATGCTAATTATATGTACCATTCATATAATTTTTTTCGAATTTTTAATCTTAAAATGTACTTATTCTTAAATATACCAATTTGTTATATGTAAAATGTACCTTTTTTTATATAAAATATATTCAATTTTTTTCTAATCCATTTTTAAACTTGTATGTGTACATTCTTTTTTCTTTGATTTGAGAATGTATACATGTTAAGTTTAATCGAAGAAATTTACTAATTTTATTAAGCCTAATATCTTTTTTTTTTTTGTGATTTTGAAGAATGTACCCATGTTTATCCACACACACACATACTAGTATATTTATATTTTAATATTTTTAATCCCACAAATTATGATTTTTTTATTTAAAATCTGATTAATATAAACAACTATAAATTTCAAATTTTAATTTTAAAAAAAATATAGTAACGTACATAGAAATAAATTATCACATTAATTTCAGGGACTTGGATAAAAAATTGAAACCAACAAAGTTTCAGTCAAAGAGTATTCATAGTTAGGGACCGCATCCAAAGTCTCCATTTTATTTATTTATTAATACATCCTAAAATTGAGATATATCAACTATATTTTGTACTGATACATACCTATTTAATTTGAATAATGCTAGAGATAATAAATTTATAGACAAAATTTGCAAACTAAATGATATGTTAGCAATAGGAAATGAGCACGTTTATCGACGCTTAAGTAATAATCAAATCATCAACTTTTATATCATTTAGCTTATAAAATTTAGACTCTCAATCATTACTTATTTAATATACCTCCGAGTTGAAATTTTCTGCACTATTTTTGCCCGTGGCCCCTTTGTGCCTAGCTTAATTGAATGACACCTGTCCTTCTACTAACTAGAACTAACACTGTTAAGGCACATATTAAGGCCATAAACTCTATCCGGTCCATTTCCAGCGGAAGTATTGTACAGCTTGGAAACAGAAGGGTTTGAAGGCTATGAATTGAGCAGGCTGTGGAGGTTTTTGAAACGTACTATTTTCGACTTAGACATCATAAACCATCAAATAATAGTAACATATGCTTTGGATTTTCTGGGTTTTTATTTATTTATTTATGTTACATATGAGATTAACATGTCCCATAGATCACACAACTAGAATTAAACTTCATTGACTAGCCTGCTCTCCATATGTATGTATGCCTAATTTTCGGACATATCGAATTGAAATTATGAGTTTCATTTTCATTCAATTCCGTCATAAAAATCAAAATCAAAAAATAAAAAAAAAATCAAAACTTCAACATCCATCCTGATTGTAAAAAACTTTGAATTTCAGAAAAGGTGGTATCTTACATTTGAAAAATGGTTCAGCTTTTGAATATACCCAACATTTTGAAAGAATTTTTAACATCATACTATGTGGTTATTAGATTTTATTTATTCCATCATAAAGTTAATCATTGTGGTCAATATATTTCAAATATCGTAAATAATTAGAATTTTAAGATACATCCCAATTTCGATCCAAATTATTTGCGAATTTTGAACGTGAAATTCCATTCGATTGCAACAAAGTTGAAAATTTTCACCTCAAACCTTGGTCAGAAGTGGGTGAAATCGAAATTTCCAATTCAACTTGCACCTGTTCTAAATAATCTATTGGTTTGGACTTTCAAGCCCAAGACATAGTGTTGGTCCAACGCGAATCTGGCGGACGAAAATGCCCTCCATTATAAAATCCCTTCCGGTCAAACACGGTGGATACTCGGTTTCAAATACAAACGGGCAACAGTGCGCGCTTTCCCTCCTCGGACCTCAGTTAATGGCAATCGCTCTTAGAAGACTTGCGGCTGCATTCTGCACCTCGCCACATCTCCAATGCGTCCGAAGCTTGTCTCCGTTGTGCTTTGGAAATAGTTACAGTTCCCTCGTGCCTTCGGTTTCGTTTGGTATGCCCGGAACCTGCTTGTGAAAATGTCTCTTAGACAACACCTATTTTGTCATTAACTGCCATTTCTGCACTTGCTCTGTATTTCAAGATCAGAGGACAGTGCTCCAACTGGTCATCCGGAATTCCGACAATAGAGAGAGAACGAGAGGGAGTGAGATGTAGCTGAGCTGAGCTGTTGAAGGCGTACTAGTTATTAAAATTCTTTTTATTATTTATCCTAGTATTAATTAAAGTTTGTATAATTAATCCTACAGAAAGATACGAGAAAATTAGAGTATTGATCCCTAAATGGATCACAATGTAGCAATGGTTCTTTTGAGTAAACACTGTTTTATAATACCCTTCAAAATAAAGGGCTCAAAGGGAAAAATATGAACGGAATTATTCTCCAAAATAAAGGGTTAAAGAGGAAAATGTGAACATAATTAACGGAGTTACTAAAAATGATCATTGTTATAGATTGTAACAAGTTCTAGGACCAATATTCTAACTAACTTGAAACATATAAGCATGTAAAATAACACCACTCAAGTTATATTGGTAGTATATATACAGTGTATGTTATTACAAATTATGGAGATTCGAGATTAGGGAGTGCAGGGTAACTAACATTTACCCTATACAAATGACTAGGTGAAAGAAAAGCTTCCATTGATATTAACCTTATATTGTCATCGGTCTCAACGAGGAACATCGGTAGATATCGTCAAACCATTGGCTGAGCAATCTTGAGCACGCACTTGATCATGGTGATCAACATATCTCCCTGTAAAGAAGGCTGGTTTCTCAGGTCTGGAAAGACTAATAGTTTCAGTTTTTAACATATGAACAACTGATGACATGGTCGGCCTGTTGTTTGCATCCTCTTGAACACACAGTAATCCAATGTGGATGTACCTCAAAAATTCATTTGGACTGCATGAATCTTTTAACAAGGGATCCATCAACTCCAAACCTTTCGTTTCATTCCATAATTGCCAAGCCTGCAATCAATACCTCTCAAGGATGTAAGTCCTACTCCAGTTTCGATAGCTACATTAATTCAGCTCACGAATATTTTGTATAAGTATTCCAAGTAAAGAACTTACATAACCTATAAGAGTAGGTGCACAATTTGTGCGATGGAAGCCTAAAAAGTTCCTTCTCCCCGTTATGATCTCAAGCAGAAGTACTCCAAAGCTGAAGACATCCGATTTTACTGAATACAACCCTTCCATAGCATATTCTGGAGCCATGTAACCACTAATTGTAGGACCAAAATGGTTGAAATATATAAGAGTTTTGTTTGTACCATACTTGACCAATCCCGAAACTACTGAGCACCGGTCAACATTATACCGTCAAGGACCCAGAAGAGCTTCCCTTCAACTAGGAGGCCAATCACAATGCGACACGTGTCGACATCAGAAGCCAATCACAGCGCGACACGTGTCAACCTCACAAGCCAATCACAACACGACACGTGTCAATGTTAGAACAAAACTAGAAACTCTCTTCTATAAATAGGGATCATTCTCCCACAATAATCTCTAATGTCATTTTGTACTAAACTATTCACTAGAATTCACAAAAGGAGAGCTTGAACATATGTATTTGTGTAAACCCTTCACAATTAATGAGAACTCATCTACTCCGTGGACGTAGCCAATCTGGGTGAACCACGTACATCTTGTGTTTGCTTCCCTATCCCTATTCATTTACGTACTTATCTTCACTAGTGACCGAAGCAACCAAGCGAAGGTCACAAACCTGACACTTTCTGTTGTACCAAAGTCCTCGCTGATTTTGTGCATCAACATTTGGCACCGTCTGTGGGAAAGACACTTACTCCCACTCTCTTCAGCTTTGTTAAGCTGGTTTCCACCGCTCGTACACTTTCTTTTGGCCAAGCATCTCTCTCCAACATGGGGAGAGAAAGAAGCCATAGCACACAGAATGACACCCCAATTGGACCTAGTATGAAGCAACGAAGGCATGAAGGAAATAAAGTTACTTTTCAAGCTAAAGTCGATGAGCTAGCATCTCTCTCCAGGAGCAATATGAAAAGCTTTTCGAGAGGCTTCACGAGGCTAGGCATGCTCAAACACACAAGCTCGTCGCCCCTGTCGAGGTCAACAATCATCTGAATGCCCCCCAACACGGAGGGTCACCGATATCCAACACAGACATCCATGATAGGGATCGAGCTACACATCAATGTGATAATCAACATGAGACTTCTCTCAACCCAGCTGCTTCAACCCGAAGCAGGAGAAGTAGAGGAAAACACCTCTTCACAGAGGGAGTGGAAGGATCAAAAGCCGTCTATCGCGATTGTCGAGACTTCCTAAAGCAACGTCGAGAGAATCCCATCCACATAAGCTCGAAGATCAATGACCCAAGAGTTTCTGAAAGACTCGGTCCTCTTCCACGACCCAGGCCAGTCGCCAATCTAGGGAATGGGCAACAGGTCCCAGAAGAACATGAAGGTACAGGGGACTCGGAAATATTCCGACATACTTACTCTAGGAGTCATTGTGATGAGTCCAAGGAAAAATCACACTATCTTGATCAAACTTTCCTACTTCCAAGAGGCGATGGGGACTTACGGAAGAAAACTTCAATGGTGCACGGCTCAACTCAGGACCCCCTTGTCCTACAGCTCCTGGAGGAAGTAAACAAGTTGAAGGCTGAACGTCAAGCCGAGATACCTGACTGGAACCAACCCAGGCCTGGCCCCCTCATAAGAAGGATCCTCAACACCCCCTTCCAAGCGAAGACAAAGCAGAAGCTTGACTTACAACTCTATACTGGAAGAGAAGATCCGATTGAACACCTTAACCTCTTTGAGTCCACCATGGTATACCGGCGACACACCGACGAAGAACGGTGCCTTCTCTTCCCCTCGACCCTCTCTGGCGGAGCTTTAAACTAGTATTGCCGTCTTCCACCTGAGACAGTAGACTCATTTGAAGAGTTGAGGAAGCTGTTTGTCTCTCAACACATCTTTCAGACCGATCGCTTGCATTCTGCAGATGACTTGTACACTATTCGTCAGAAGCCGGACGAGTCATTACGAAAGTATGCTGGCCGCTTCAGCCATGAGTATTCTCGCTGCGCTGAGGCAGATGACAAGACCGCCCTCAATGCCTTCACGGCAGGCTTACGTGACTGTTTCTTCAAGTACATGATCAATACCAACACTTGGAAGACTTACTCTGAGGTGATGGCACAAGCTTACAACCATGCTTCCGCCGAGGCAAGGACATATCAAGGGAAACCCCCTACAGTCACCCCTTATCAGCAAGTAGGGAGTGGAGGCCAGATCCAACCGAATGAAAAGACCTCAACCTTCCAAATGGTAGCAGCACACCCCCCTGCCTCATTTAATGCTTCGCCAAGTCGGCAGACATATCAATCTCAGGGCAAAAGGAAAGACTTCCATCCTCACCAATCTCATTTTAATAAAAAGAATAAGGGGCACTATCGCGATAACTCAGGATATCGTCACAATAATGCCCGCCCCCAGGTAGTCAACGCAGTGGGCCAATCACGTGTCAAGACAGGCCCTACCTCGAGGTATGAGACATACACCTCTTTGAATGCTACATGTGCTGCCATCTACCCCAGTATAGCTCACCTGATACCAAAGCCAAAGCCAAAGCCAAGACAGCCATATTACAAGTCCACGAAGAACACGGGCATGTTTTGCTGCTACCACGAGTATAATGGCCATGATAGTGAGAAGTGCATTATCCTCCGTGACCATATTGAAGCTTTGGCACGTGAAGGAAAAATTGATCAGTTCCTCCTTCACCCTCCAAGGGATAACCATAACCAACGCCAGGTGAATGTGATATATTCCATAAGCGGCACACCCATGTCTGAATCTTCCAATAGGGCCATGAAAAGCAGTGAACGAACTTTGAGACCTGGCCATCAAGTGTTTCATGTGGAAGACATCAGGGGAGGCAAGTATCAAAAGCCTAACTGGGATCCAATATGTTTCTACCCTGAGGAAGAAAGAGGTATCATCTACCCTCACAACGACCCGCTGATCGTGGAGGCTCACATAGCAAATTTTGATGTGAAACGAATCCTGGTAGACACAGGTGCTTCAGTCAATATCATGTTTGCTGAAGCTTTCAAGGCACTTAATGTAGCTGAACACTTGCTCGATCGCTCGATTTCTCCTCTGATAAGCTTCTCTGGCGATATCGTGCAACCTTTAGGGAGTATACACTTACCATTCACCATTGGTACAGGCCCCTACACAGCTACTATTACCACCAACTTCCTAGTGGTTAATTGTCCGACGGCATACAATGTCATCTTTGGGCGCACATGCATCAATGATCTCAATGCCATGGTATCCACACATATGTTGTTGATGAAGTTTCCAACCCCTTTCGGCAATGGATACATCAGGGGAGATCAACTTAGTGCTCGATCATGTTACAACACTTCAGTTAAGCAACAACACCTGCATGTCCCCAAGGAGACCCTCTCTGTACATAACCAGGTAGTAAAGACCAGTCAAGATGAAGCCAACTCGGATTTTCATGATAGCAACAGTCAACCCGACGACCCTCGAGATGACTCATTCACCCAGCAAGCACAACCCGCTGAAGAGTTAGAGAATGTCTCTATCTCCAAAGACCATCCAGATCGCATGGTGAAGATTGGCACAACTTTGTCACCACCCATTCGGTTGTCGCTGATCTCATTTTTACAAGAGAACGTCGAGGTCTTCGCTTGGTCATATAAAGATATGCCGGGCATCTCTCCCGATATCATTTGTCACCACTTGAGTATTGATCCCAAGACCAAGCCAGTAAAACAGAAGTGAAGATCTTATGATGTTGAACGATATGAGGCGATGAAAGCAGAAGTTGAAAAACTCAAGGACATAGGCTTCGTCCGTGAAGTCAATTACCCAACATGGGTAGCAAATGTTGTCCTTGTTAAGAAAAATCCGACCAAGGAAAGTCTCCTGCTTCAAAAGGTCTTATGGAGAATGTGTGTCGACTACACCGACCTAAACAAAGGATGCCCGAAGGATAGTTTCCCTCTTCCTCTCATTGATAGACTTATAGACTCTACGGCAGGGTGTGAGCTCTTGAGCTTCATTGACGCTTATTCAGGATACAACCAAATCCTCATGAACCCCTCAGACCAAGAACACACGGCCTTCATTACTGACAGGGGACTATATTGCTATAAAGTCATGCCTTTCGGCCTAAAGAATGCAGGAGCAACTTATCAGAGACTGGTCAATTTAATGTTCGCCAAACAGATTGGGAAGAGCATGGAAGTTTACGTTGATGATATGCTAGTCAAGAGCAAACATGCTGACCAACACATCACCAACCTATCTGAAACTTTCACCATTCTAAAGAGGTATCGAATGAGGTTGAACCCCAACAAATGTGCCTTTGGCGTGGGCTCTGGCAAATTCTTAGGCTTCATGATCAGCCAACGAGGCATCGAAGCTAACCCCGAAAAGATCAAAGCAATCGTCGACATGAAAGAGCCAGTAACTTCAAAAGACATCCAAAGCCTTACTGGCAAGGTGGCAGCCTTAACCAGATTCATCTCTAAGGCCACAGATAGATGTGCTCCTTTCTTTAAAGCACTCAAGGGAAATAAGAAGTACATTACATGGACGGAGGAATGTGCCAAGGCATTCAGGAACCTCAAAGAGTACATGAGTAAAGCCCCTCTGCTCTTCAAACCAGAAATTGGTGACACTCTCATTATCTATCTATCGGTTTTGGCTTCAGCAGTCAGTTCTGTTCTTATTCGAAAGGACAATGGTGTCGAACGGCCCATCTACTACGCTAGCAAGGCCCTACAAGATGCGGAGACACGATACTCCAACATTGAGAAATTAGCTTTAGCATTGGTCATGTCTGCTCGAAAACTTCACCCTTATTTCTAAGCACATGCCATCATCGTGCTTACCAATCACCCTCTTCGACAGATACTCCAGAGTCCTGACACGTCTAGGCGAATGATCAAATGGGCAATAGCATTGGGTGAGTTTGACATCTCCTACCAACCAAAACCAGCCGAAAAAGGTCAGGCTGTGGCAGATTTCATAGCCGACTTCACATATCCTGTTGACATTGCTTCTACACCTGAAGCAGTAGCTTCATTACCATCGGAAGCTCAGAAGATAGAATCAACAACCCTAGCATGGAGTCTGTATGTTGATGGCTCATCCAACTAACCGGGCTGCGGAGCAGGATTAGTCCTCACTACCCCCGACAAAGTGGCGATGGAATACGCTCTTTG